TAACCAATGTCATAAAACAAAATGTGTACTACTGTTTCATGAGAAACTATTTGTTCTGTAAGCCTTCACCTGAAGTACAATAAAATATATATATAAAAAAAAAATATTCCAGGTGAGGGTAGTATAGTGACTGCAGAGGTATTTATGAAAACTATGTGGCAGCCACTCAAGGGATAAGGCGTACGATTTATTCTTTGCTGGAGGTCTTCCAGCAAGGAATGGCTTGGAAGACATTTGTAAATCATTTCTCCCTGGAATATCTGGTATCGATACATCATGACACATAATAAGAAGAAACTGAAGAGGAAAAGATGGGGAGGAAAAGCAGTTTAAATAAAAGTACAACAAACTAATCTTCCTGATGTTGGCAGATGAGTGGGCTAGGAGAACTGTCGAAAACTACGTCAGGGCTGTTCTCTCGACTATCTGCCTCTTTATCAGATAGAATTATTTTCTTCTTTTATTTATTAATCTATGTAGCATTATGTATACCTTGTGAGCTTGATGAGATCTCAGGAAGTATCTGATAAGAATCTCCACTATACAGATAAGAAAACTGAGGTCAGAGAGGTGGTGTGTCTTTTCTGAGGACATTTTACTATTAGGTGTTAGAATTTAGGAGTGAAATGCTCTGACACATCATCCAACAGTCTTTCCACTGCACCATCACAAATGAGGCCAAAGGCTGAGATTTGAAATGCAGTAAGAGGAGGCATAAGTAGAAGAGTTAACTACTTGTGGTACTCAGCATTCTGAACTGCTCCAAATCCACACACAGGTTATTGAAATGTGTGTGTGTGTTTATTTAAATAAGTATTCAGCACCATACCAGGCAATGTAAATAATACAGAAAGGGCATACGTTACAAAAATACAATCCTATTGCAATTTATGAAGCCCAGGTGGCACAGTGGTTAAGAGCTACGGCTGCCAATCAAAAGATCGGCAGTTCAAATCCACCAGCTGCTCCTTGGAAACCCTATGGGGCAGTTCTACTTTGTTCTATAGGGTCGCTATGAGTCGGAACCGACTTGATGGCACCTAATGACAACAACAACATTACAATTTATATTATGAAGCACATGGCAGAGGAGCAGATATCCATATCCCTCTTGTTAACAAGTTTTAAAATCTTAATCAATGCTTTAAGTCTTTCCTAAATATTCAATAGTCAAATGAAAAAATACATGAATATTTCAACAACCATTTAAAGATTAGCTTTTCAGTAAATTTGATGTCTGTTCAATGGATCAGCTTAAGACTCTGTAGGAAAGTGTTACAAGGGTTTATAGGGGAAAATAAGTTATAGAGAAGGCTTAGAAACCCATAGAATTTTTTCTCTTACTTTATGAACTATCATTATAGTAAGGAATTCTGAATGCTGTCATTTCCACTGCAGTAATGGAAAAACAAAAAACAAAACCAAAGCTGTTGCTGTTGAGTCAATTCCGACTCATAGCAGCCCTACAGGACAGAGCAGAACTGCCCCATAGGGTTTCCAAGGAGTGGCTGGTGGATTTGAACTGTCAACCTTTTGGTTAGCAGTTGAGCTCTTAACCATAAAACCTCCTCCTTTATATAGCCACCTAGCAACTTCATTTCTGCCCTCCAGGGACTCATAATCCTACCAACAGGTACAGAAGAGTAGACCAGGAAGGAGGGAAAGCTTACTAGAAAACAACAGGTGGCAGAATGAGAGGGGTAACAGGCTAACAGTTATAGCTGGAGAGGCATAAAAGGGCCTGAAGGTGTGGGGAATTAGTGAGAAGCAGTCTGGGCTTGAAAGTATCTTTGAGGGGCTAGATCTGAAGGAAGTGAGAGTATATTCCAGACATATAATGGGTTAAAGGGTTTTTCTCTGAGATGGTCGGAGACCTTAACTATTCTGTATATTATTGTCCCTGTAGATAAATATGGATAAACTTTCTGAAGAGCCACCTTACAAAAAAAAAAAATTTAAAACACAACCCAATGGATAAAGAGACTTCTAGGGAGTCAGTGAAGGATAAGTAAGGGTTCCTAGGGGGTTTGACCAGTCAGGAGGCCATGTCTATGAGAGCCCTTTCTCCATTTTCAGCTCCTCATTCCCAATTCCAACCGCTTCGTTACTGGAGGCCCCTTCTCCAGTTCAGGGAGTCCCCTCTGGGAACCCGTGACTACATTAAAAGGACGAGTTGTATCCTTAACCCTCTGGTGATCTGTGGGACAGAAAGCTCCCACCTACATTTTATGCCTCTGGAGTTTCTTGGGAAGCTGCCTTCCCTCTTATAGTGCATGCTACTGCAAGGCTAGGGCCTGTATAACTGTTTGAAACTGAAGAAATAGGCATGTGCTGCAAATAACTGTTTTTACAGGGTATTGTATTAGATAGAACATCCTGGAGGTGTGGTTTTGCAAAACTTTTGTCTCTTTTAGTGGGAGATAAGCTTATATTTCCATGTTTGTGTGTGTTATTTGGAAGTTGTATTACTTGCAGTGATTCTATGTTCACGTAAATACCTCATTTTCAGGGGTCATTCATTGTATGTACCTGTGATCCCACCAGTCATACCCCAGAGTCCATAGGGACATAGGTGTCCCACATATTACCCATAATACCTACCAAAAATTTAGACACACTCAATGATTCAGCCATGCATTCCATTACTCAACATATGTTATCAAAAGAAATTCAAAGCAGAAAATAATTTGGTCACCAAAGGGTTTTAAGTTGGGACTCCGAATTATTTTTCCCAAAACACTGTTAGACACAACAGTCTGTAGCACTATGCACTTTCTGTGATCAGTAATCAGTGTTTCTGATACATTTTTAGGGTTAAGCGTACATTTGTGAGCTGTTGGTTAGAATGGAACTTCCATATGTAAGATTGTTTCTCCATGAGGTATGTTTCAAATTCTAAATAACTGACTTACAAAACTGTACCAACCATTTATAAGTTAGAGAATTACAATATTGCCAACATAATTCAATAACGCCATTATAATTACACATTTACTTTATTATATAAGTGAATGTCAATCTGTTATTATGCAGATTTGGGAAATTGAACTTTCTAGGTTAGTTAAATGAAAAACAGTTGCAGAATATAATTAGTGCCTATAATTATAGCAATGTATCAAAACATATTATTAGTATTCACCTGGTATTGTGGTGGCTGCTATAGTGCAACTGCATAATAAAATCAACACATTTAACTTCAACTTTTAGAAGATTAATTATAACAGAGAATGTTTTGAAATTCCTGGATCTCTAAGAGATCTTAATTTTTAACTACCTAAAACCAATAATTCACTCTATACCTCCCTTATTTAATATTTAACGTCTGTCTTTGCCCACAACAGAAACTCATTCATAATTAGAATATCAAAACATGTTTTCTAACAAGTCCATTAAGCTGCTCGTGGACTTTTGAAAATCATTTATCCAAAATATGTGTTTTGTTTATTTAACACGATTTGAGTTTTCCTCAAAACACTAATTAATCCTTCAATTAAGTGCTGTAAACAGTGTAGACAATGTAAATTTCAGGTGCCATATTTTATAGACATGGCAAACATGTAGACAAAGATTACAGAAAACAAGCAGAACTGATCAGGAAGGCATTTTTGCATATGGACAAAGAACTGATGCTTCCAGAGGTTGTTACAACATATTGAACAGGTATTTTCACATATATTTGCTTATACTGAGAGAAGTGTCCCCAAGTTAGCAAACAAATTGATGACCAGTATTTAAAATATAGGCTTCAAATCACAGTACTCATATCACAAAACTCAAATTCAAGTTATAAACAGTTTTTGTCTATAGGAGAAGTTATTATTATAGCTGGCAGAGCAAATCTCCTTATTCAAAAAGCCTTCCACTAATGAAGTATTCTAAAAAGGCAAAGAAAGGTTACACACAGGATTGCACTATACTAACTTAAAACACAAAACCAAAGCAATTCATCATTTTCTGAGACTGTCTTCATACCATGCCTCATCCTCACTTTCCCCTCGGCTACTTCCTATGCAAAATAACATCGTATGGTCTTACCTAGAACATCAAGATCGAGGGTCCGTGCCAGTTTCCTTGCACCATCAGCACCAAAAATGTGAGTTTTGTGTTTACATTTTGGACACTGGAAAACACTCATGTTTTGAACAAGGCCCAGAACCTAGAATCATAAAACCATATTTAAATAAAAATATAATTAAATCAGATCTCAGTACATTATTTCATCAAGTTTTTACTGAGTGTCTACTAGGTTCAGGTAATATGGTGATAAGACATGGTCCCTGCTCTCAAGGAACTCATACACTAGTGGGAAAACAAGACATACATAATTAACTTTGATAATGTGATAAATGTTAAAGGGAGATGAATAAACAGGGACCAAAAAATTCTGCCTGGGAAGAATAAGAGGAATCTCTGAGCTGCCCATAGAGAATTGTTTCTTCAGGCTGGGGGTGAGAAGAGGGGATGAGGTCTATAGCGGGAATTCCAGGCAGAAGGAGGACTACAAGTCAAGGTGAGGAAGCATAACTGTGTGAGGCCTATTTGGGCTGCAACCAAGTAGGTGGTCAAGGCAGAAGATGGTTTGGTAAAAAAGGTGAAGGTCAGATGGTGAGGGGCTAAATACCATCCATGCATTTGAAGCTTTCTTCTTCATGCAACAGAAAACCACTAACATCTTAAATATTAGGAAGACAGAAGAGGATACACAATCAGTGTTTTAGAAATTCAGTGCTGATGGCAATATGGAGAAAAATAATCAGAGAAAACAGAGGAAAATAAATAGTTAAGAGGCTAACTGTGGGCAAAGTCTCATGGTAATAACAGTTAATACATACCAAGTGCTAATTATATGCCAGGCACTGGAATAAGTGTTTTAAATGTACTATCTCATTTACTCCTCGCAGTAACTTTATGAGATGGATGTTTTATTATCCTCATTCTATACCTGAGAAAACTGACACAGCTAACAAAGGACTTAAACTTGGCTCTTATCAGAATGTTATCATTTGAAATAAAATTTTAAAGTCTCATAGAAAATGCTCATCTCTTTCTTTGAGTTTCCCCAACTTCTGGCACAAAAACAGATAAACATCTGTTGAATAAACAGACAGGCTCTGCAAATATAATCCTTACTCATGTTCCTTTTAATCCTACTTTCTTATTGATGAGAAGCAGTGGCTCTCTTCCAGAATAAAAATGGGAAACACTCTACTATCACAGTCGTAGAGATAACAATATCTGCATGATCCTAAGAATTTCATCAATAAGATTATCGGCATAGGAGATGTCTCTATTAGAGCATTCACATTTTAAATAAAGAATAGCATTGATAGTCCACAATGAGACATAGAGACAACGAAGTGATCAAATTTGTTATTCTTTCTGAAAAGAGGAACAGGAAAGACTAAAGCTGCCCACAACACATGGAAATGAAAACTAATAGTGAGGGACATAAATTTGTAGCTAAGCATTTTCCAAGCATCTAATATATGCCCCTTTTGTTGATGCAGAGTATCATAAAAAATAAATCACACTCTGTGTTTTGGTAATTCTGTACCATCTCTAGAATGTTACACAAAAACACAGCTTAATATCATACAGCTTATGTGCTTATTCATTGTGTTTACATAATATACTCATTGCTTGGGCAGTGTTACTATCATTTATATTAAATGGGATCTATCTCCTGACTGTAGGGTTCTCAACTTAAACATAAAAATATCACTCAAGAAACGGGAAAAGGAAAAACACTTAAAGAATGTGAAAATTTAGGTGAGGGTGCATTTTAATCCAGAGAGAAGGGAAAAGCATCCTACCCTGGAATCTCTTAGATTCTCCAGGACACCAGAGCACACAGTAACAGTAGTTTGCGTGATTTACTTCTTCTTATCAAATTGTTCTCTACAGACTGCATAAATGTCTCAGACATGTTCTCTATAGACTACATAGGTATCACAGACATAAAATATAAAACTGTAACCAAACAATATTTACTGAGCTCCCATCATATGCCAGGAACTGGGTTAAACACAGGGAGTGGCAAATGGTCATGAACAAAGCAGACATGATTCTTGCCCCCTTGGAGCTTGTGTTCTAACTGTATAAAAAGACTGAAAAAATAACAGTGCAAAAATATGCTTATAAACTAGAACAGCTTCTCTGGAAATAGAGTACAGGATATTATGAGAGTGTAAAACAGACAGGACCAAATCTACTCTGGAAGTCGGGGGTGGGGGGAGTACATTCAAAACAGAAGGAGGGAACATTTGTCTTCTTACAGGAACTGAAAGGCTCATATGGTTAAAGTGTGGTGAGTCTGGAAAGGTAGGCCTTTTCTGGGTTATATAATTAAGAAATCTGGATTATATAATGCATACAAAGAGAAGTCATTAAAGGGTTTTAAGCAAGAGAGACCATTATACCTGCATTTGTAGTAGACTCATTTCTCAGGATAGCAGGGTTTTAAAAACAACATGGAATAAGGGAAAAAATTAAAATGGCTTGTTTTTGTGTGTCTTTGTTTTCTTTAGACAAACAAACACAAAACCAGTGTTGTGTTCTCCAAAATCAGTCACAGGAGATGTAACCAGTCTCTCTCTATATATACATACATATCACTGGCTCTGTTCTCTAGAGAGCCCTAACTAAGACCTTAGACAGCATTTATTTCTAGAATTCTCTCATCTTAGGAGGTCCCTACACTTATAACGTTTTACTTGATAAAAAAAGAGTTGGTTTGGAAATGGAACAAAAGGGAACAGAACAGACCAATACATTAAAGTCACTGATTTACAATGGAAATGACACCACAGTGTATACTAATTAGATATCCATATGGAAAATAATGAATCTTGACCCTCTACCTCCCACCATACATAAAAATTAATTCCAGATGGATTGCTGAGCCACACGTGAAAGGTTAAACAATAATGCTTCCAGAAGAAAACAAGATAATATTCTTATAATCTTACAGGATGCGTAAAACCAAAGATTTTTCTAGCAGGACACAAAAAGACACTAAACATATGTAAATTTTTTTTGTTAAATTGGACTACATTCAAATTAAGAAATTAATCACAAGATACTATTCAGAGAATGAAAAGGCAAGCTACAGAGCAGAGGATGACATCTGTAATACATACATGTAACAAAGGACTTTTATCCAGAATTATACAAACACCACCAACAAATCAATAAGAAAAAGACAATTAAAAAAAAAAAAAAAAAGCAACGTGGAAAAAACTTAACGGTACTCCACAAAAGAAGATATCCAAAGACCGAAAAGGGAAGTACTCAACTTCATTAATCGTCAGAGCAGTGCAAATTAAAATTACAATGGCATAACACTCATTTACCATACATTTATCCTCAAGACTTCATTGATGTTGTTATTGTCAGGTGCCACCAAGTCGGTTCTGAGTCACAGCGACCTTACATATAATAGAACAAAATGTTGCCTGGTCCTGTGTCATCCTCACAATTGTTGCTATGTTTGAGCCCACTGTTGCAGCCACTGTGGAAATCCATCTTGGCGAGGGTCTTCCTCTTTTGCACTGACCCTCTACTTTATGAAGCATGATGTTCTTCTCCAGATGTTAGTCCCTCCTGGTAACATGACTATATTAGGATAAGTGAATGTCTATATGACTAAAATCAAAAAGACAAAAAATACCAAATATTGGTGTGCACATGGGAACAACTAAATCTCTCATACACTGCTGGTGGGAGTATAAATTGGTACAATCATTTTGGAACACTGTTTACCAGGTATCTACTTAAGCTAAACGTATGCATACACTATGGCACAGCAATTCTACTCCTGCTGTTGTTGTTAGGTGCCATCAAGCCAGCTTTGACTCATAGTGACCCTATGTACAACAGAACGAAACACTGCCTGGTCCTGCATCATCCTCACAATCATTGTTTTGTTTGAGCCCACTGTTGCAGCCACTGTGTCAATCCATCTTGACGAGGGTCTTCGTCTTTTCTGCTGACCCTCTACTTTACCAGACATGATGTCCTTCTCCAGGGACTGGTCCCTCCTGATAACATGCCCAAAGTATGTGAGACGAAGTCTTGCCATCCTCGCTTCCAAGGAGCACTCTGGCTGTATTTCTTCCAAGACAGACTTGTTCATTCTTCTGGCAGTCCATGGTATATTCAATATTCTTTGGTAACTGCATAATTCAAAGGCATCAGTTTTTTTTGATCTTCCTTATTCATTGTCCACCTTTCACATGCATATAAGGCGATTGAAAATATCCTGGCTTGAATCAGGCGTACCTTAGTCCTTGAAGAGATACCTTCACTTCTTAACACTTTAAAGAGCAGCAGATTTGCCCAATGCAATATGTTGTTTGATTTTTTGACTGTGGCTTCCATCGGTGTTGACTGTGGATCTAAGTAAAATGAAATCCTTTACAACTTCAATCTTTTCTCCATTTATCATGATGTTGCTTATTGGTCCAGTTGTGAGGATTTTTGTTTCCTTTACGTCAAGGTGTAATCCATACCGAAGGCTGTCTGATCTTCATGTAAGTGTTTCAAGTCCTCTTCACTTTCAGCAAGGAAGGTTGTGTCATCTGCATAATTGTTAACGAGTCTTCCACCAATCCTGATGCCACATTCTTCTTCTTATAGCCCACCATGCATCTGTTAGTTTGTCGCACTGTGGTGGCTTTCATGTTGCTGTGATACTGGAAGCTGTGCCACCAGTATTTCAAATACCAGTAGGGTCACCCATGGTGGAGCTTCCAGACTAAGACAGACTACGAGGAAGGATCAGGCAGTATACTTCTGAAAAAAGTGGCTAGTGAAAACCTTATGAAGAGCAGCGGAACACTGATACAGTGCTGGAAGATGAGCACCTCAGGTTGAAAGGCACTCAAAATATAACTGGGGAAGAGCTGCCTCCTCAAAGTAAAGTCGACCTTAATGACATGGATAGAGTCAAGCTTTCGGGACCTTCATTTGCTGATGTGGCACGACTCAAAATGAGAATAAACAGCTACAAACATCCATTAATAATTGGAACGTGGAATGTACAAAGTATTAATCTAGGAAAATTGGAAGTTGTCAAAAGTGAAATGGAATGCATAAAAGATATATTCCTAGGCATTAGTGAGCTGAAACAGACTGGTATTGGCCATTTTGGATCAG